CAATGCTTTCTTGATACTTTTTTCTAGCTTAATCAATGGTCAGTGCATCATGAGACCTGTGCTGCTTCAAATGCCAGTTTAGAAAGCAGAGTAAGGATTTGAGAGAAGCAGTCATGTGTCAGTTGTGGTTGCCAAGTACGTGGTTTGCTGTTTGCTGTGTCTCTACCTGAATGCAGGAGCAGACTCTCATGGTGTGCTACAGAGCTCTGAGTTCCACAGGCCACCCTGGTTCAGGGAAACCATCTGGAGCACTTGTTAGAGAGGTCCTTTGGTGTCTTCTTGGGAGAAGCCCAGGAATGCCCTGGGCATGCCCAGAATTTGCCCAACATGGCTGCCCTTGCCCCCACTAACAGGTTATTGATGCTGCCCCTTCTCTTCTATGTCCTAAGAAAAGCTTTACATGAAGAACTAGGTATCTTATTAACTTCTCAATACTCCAAACCTGATCTAGGAGTTTCTCCAGCCTTTGTTCATGGACCTATTCAGCTATACCAGGTATTCAGTGAGCTTGTAAGACTGCAGCTTGTGCATGGACTGGTAGGGGTGAGGCCCATGCAAGCCTTCTCTGTGACAGTCACTCAGACAAACATGGGCATGAGACAATTTTTGGAAGATTTTGCCTCTGTGTGGATCATCTGATCCGTGAATGGGAAACAGCCTAAGCTGCTGGACCACGACAGAGGTCTTTTCTTGATTTATCAGTCCCTATGTAGTTTCTGAATTTGGCAGCAAGAAGGAGGTTGAAACAGTCCAAACCAGGGCTGCAGCCCAACCTCTTGTGTCTCTGACTGACAGGAGTGCTTAAATAAAAAGGTGAGAATGGGGCTCTCCACCTCTCACTTTGTCAATTAGAGGGGAAAGAGGAGACATTAAATTAGTTATAAAGGTACCAATCATTAAAGCAAATTTGTGACGCGGTTTGCTAGTTTTGCTTAGGCAGCATAAAATGTTTTTGCAACTATGCTACCGCCAGAAGATTCCTTCCAAATGGCAAATCTACACATGCAAATATTGACTCAGACCTCCGTCTCAAAATGAAAGATTTCTGTGCATAAAAAATTTTTTACCAAACTGATGTGGGCTGCTCTATTTCAGTAAACAACACTTTGTAGCATGGTTTATATGCTGAACTGAAGGTGGGATATGTGGGCACGAGGATACAGAGAACAAGGACCTCAGGTGTATATTTAAAAGCTTAAAGTCTGCCAAGGGAGTCAGATCTTGTGCAGTTTACACGGATGTAGAGACAGGTCCCAGCTGATCACATCTCCATGCTGTAGAGGCTGAATACTCTCAATCCAAGTTCTTTCAGATATTACACATGAGGAGAGTTTAATGTTTAATCCCAAATTTTCTTATTGAGCATACTTGACATTACATTGGATTTTGAATTAGCAGAGGGATACAACAGTTTACTGAAATTGCATCACAAGCATAATAAAGCATTTGCAATATACAGTTGAATCGCAGTAGAAATGTGATTCTCATTAGTCTCTGTATGCTCAGTGTCAATGTTGGGCCTCAGTCCCTGTGAAGAAATATATTGACTGAAACCATCTCAAGCCCATTGCTCCCTTCAAATTTTTCCATTTTGTCCATTTTTTGTAATTTATGTTGGACTGAGCCACATATACATGGCCCACCCTCCCTACCCTGTATTTTAGTCTGGTTTGCTCAGAAAGACATCAGTCTGAGGGAACCTGATGATTCACTGGTGCAGCTGTCTTATCGAAAACCATGGTAACCCTTCAGTCTCCCTGGTGTTAAGATACATGCAGTTTTTCTTTACAGTACATTATTTCTCTTTACAGAATATTATTCCTCCAGCTCATTGTCATTTTGCCCTTCTCCTGTGGGTGTGTGCTGGTCTGTCAAAAGTGCCCACGTTTTTAGTACGAGGGAAGAATTTATTTCTTTCCTCCAGGTGGTCCAGATGAGATCTACTATGTGTTCAGCTTGGCAGATCACAGGAGCATGCAACAGTGCAAAGCAGGGATCTGTACAACCTGTCTCAGTCATAAATGACAGATTGCAATTCCATTCTTCCTTTGAGAACGACAGAGAATATTTTGAAGAGGGAATGAAGCACCAGCTGCCAGTGAGTGGAAAAGAAGGAGTATGAAAAACTCTCCAACACAAAATTCAAAACTACTAGTCTGAAAACTTGAATATGTTTCCAGAATTTTATTAATATATATTCTTAAATTATAATGTGTAACTATTTTTTTGCGTAACGTTGATCTAAACTCAAACCTTGAAGCTCTAGTAACATATAATGAATGATTTTTTAAAAGTCATTATTAAATTAATAACCACATATTCTATTTACCCATCCTGAGTTTTTGAATACAGAAACAATACCCTACAAGTGCCCTAACTAACTGTGGTAGAGTTTAGGCACATATTAAAAAACATCACATTCATTACCTAGGGGATACCAAACCAGAGTATAAGCAAGGGATCTGAAAACTTACGAATGGAAACCAAATGATGAGAGCAAAAAACCCATGGGAATACACAGATAGTGTTCTTAGTACACTAGAGACTTAGCCTTCGCCTCTATTTTGCAGAATTATGTCTTGATTCCATCTTGTGTATTTGATTAGACTAGATATGATAAATGAACAAAATTTCAACTACTATTGATTGAGGACTGTCACTAGTAAGTATGGGTTGGAAAGCAGAAAGGGAGGGATATTGAAATTTGGTGTTCTGATGCTATTATGGCACTACTAAATGAAGAAAAGACAGTCAGAATTAGAAGAAAAAACAACTAACCAACGAACCAAACCCCCAAACAAACAAACAAACCCCTCCTCTGGAATTCTTTTTTAGGTTAGTTACAGCAGAAGAGATTTGAATTTGTTTACTGTTTTGTGACCTGACAGTTCAATATAAACAAGAACTGTAGCCAGCATAATACATTTTTTAAGATCCAGAGTCATACTCACTTCATACTCATAATCATACTCATATATATCATATAATCATACTCAGCTCACCTGTTCGCTCCTCCTAGGAAGATCTTAGGACTATCCAAAATCTAAGGAGACTTCACATTATATGTATGCGTTCTTCTGCACCTCTGCAACAGGAAGCAGTTTCTACAATGTAGGTAGAAGCTGTGAATGGTTCTGCCTGGTGAATGACAGTAACTGTTCAGAAGAGTGCAGTGCGGGTTGCTTCATATTGGAAGAGGAGATAAGCAGAGATCCTCATGTTTCTTAATGTACCCTTTTTCTGAAGTGATACAGATTAGATAGGGAGAAGACAATTTTTATCTAAATCATAATCGTCATCTTTGTCTCAAAAAACCCACCCACCCAACCAACCAACCAACCAACACACCCAAAAAGGCAAAGATTTGATATTGACCACACAACCACCTAGGGACAGTATTAGAAACAATATTTGAAATGTCAGGATAATGAGCTCCTCTTTTATACTTTTATTATGGCCTTAGAGAGCAAAACACTTTTTTGGTTTTATGAAAGAATGTGATTGTAATTTCATCATTATTAAACAGACTGAGGGAAGCTGCTTCTTCCCAGTTTGGTTTCACAATAGAGAATTTACTTATTATATGTTCTAACATGGTACAGTTTAAAAAAGTACACAGAAATTATATTTGCATTTCATACATAAAATGACAAAAGAAAATAAATAATAAACTTTTTTTTTCTGGGAAAAAAAAAGGAAACATTCTTTAGGTGTTAGTCTAGCAGTTATTCCAGCTCAAGATGGTCTTACAATGTGACATTTTGAACATCCTAAGACAAGGACTGCTCCTTGCTTTAATAGATAATAATTCAGAATCTCCTTTGTTTAAAGTATAGATTTAGATCCCCTAAAAAAAAAAAAAGAAAAGAAAACCAGGTAAAGATCCAAATGTATGGTCTTGTGTCAACAGTAGGATTTTTTTTTTTTACTAATTAGGGAGCAGAAATTTAGGTATACAGTTGTAGTAAAGAACATTTGGTAAAAAATTAAAAAATTACCCCACTGCAGTAACTGGAAAGGTGCAAAATTAGCAGAAGTCATAAAGTAATATAAGTTCAGCATTATAAAAAAGGATTCTATTCCACCTTCTGGTTAATATGTGCTTAAAGACACAAAGCTCAAATTGAAGATTTGAGAAATGGGAGGTAGAAATGGAAATAAAGAAACCAATACACGACATACTGTGGAAAATTTCCTAAAACTGGTAAGACATTTGAAATCATTAAAAATTCTGTAGAAAAGTTTACAGCACTTTGAACACAAATAAACCAAAAGTATCAATGATCAACAGCATAAAAATAATGATAATTTAAAGTACTTCAAACCTACCTCAGCTCGAGCAATAAAATAAAATACACACACATATAAAAATGGTTTACACAAATCTAAGGAGAGAGAAAAAACCTTTTCAATTGTACGAACATGTATCTCGTCTGAATTTTTTTGGGGAGGAAGGTGTGGTGTTTTGTTTATATTGTAGACTTTGCAGCTCTCTAACAGGTTGCAGCAAACGATGTGTCGTCATCCGTCACGGAGACAGGAAAAAGTGGTGGGAACCCCGCCCCCGCGCTCTGCAGTCCTCAACCAGGTCGGACCGACGACAATATACAGGCGCCGGGGCCCATTTCCCGCCGTACAACGGCTGCGGCTGAGCGAGGAGCAGTATGTCTGGCAGAGGCAAAGGCGGGAAGGGGCTCGGCAAGGGCGGCGCCAAGCGCCACCGCAAGGTGCTGCGCGATAACATCCAGGGCATCACCAAGCCGGCCATCCGCCGCCTGGCTCGGCGCGGCGGCGTCAAGCGCATCTCGGGGCTCATCTACGAGGAGACGCGCGGCGTGCTGAAGGTGTTCCTGGAGAACGTGATCCGCGACGCCGTCACCTACACCGAGCACGCCAAGAGGAAGACGGTGACGGCCATGGACGTGGTCTACGCCCTCAAGCGCCAGGGACGCACCCTCTACGGCTTCGGCGGCTAAAACAAACCTTTTGTTCCCGGCTCACCTCGAGAAACGAACCCAAAGGCTCTTCTAAGGGCCACCCACTTTTTCTTTCAAAAGAGCTGAGTTGCTTCGTAGCTGGTAAAAAGGAATAATGCTTTTAAAATAATCTCCTATAAATTACTCTTATTTTCTGTCGGTTATTGCTTTAAGAAAAGTTCTTTGTTAATCACTTATTAACTAAATGCAAATAACATTTTGGGGGCCCATCTTGCATAAAGAGGGGAGGGGATATAGTAGGGTTTTATTAAATAGGTTTAGGACCTTTTTTTTCAAGTCTCCATAAAAGTAAAAGGAGTAGCAAAGCACTCTAAACTTGAACTCCTGATCCGAGCTGACCTGTTTTACAGGCACGTCATCTGTTTTTTTAAATTAAATAGTGATGGAAGTAGATATGTTTACACTTCAGTTATGTTAATGTCTATTGTGGTACTTTCTGGGACGTATCACGGCTGGTTGTTCCTTAAGCCTCTCAAAAAATTAAATACCGGAATGATTCCGTTTGTCCTCTAAAAGTGGCGTGTAGGAAATCGTCCATTATTCTTTGCGCATTCGGTGCGCTAAAGCTTAGGAAAGTTTCTTCTTTTAATTAAACGTTTAACAGCATAATTTTCAATTGTTTCCCTTTTGAACACTTTCCCCTAAAGGTTTCATTTTCGTGGTAGGCTGTAAAAATCGTTATAAGAAATAGACCACACTGAAAGCAGAAGCGGCGGGGGGGAGGAGCGGGAGGAGGCCGCGCGCGGGAGGCCTGTTGGTGAGGGCGCGCGCGCGCTAATGAGGCGGGCTTTTCGAATTTGAAATTATCCAATAAAAGCGGAGGATTCTTGGCAGCCAATCAGGGTGAGGAATGTTCTATAAAAGCCGCCCTCGGCAGCAAAGTGACTTTATTGTCTTGCTGCGGCGTGAGGCGTGACTCCTGTCTCTGAGTGATGGCGCGCACGAAGCAGACGGCGCGTAAGTCGACGGGCGGGAAGGCGCCTCGCAAGCAGCTGGCCACCAAGGCGGCCCGCAAGAGCGCGCCGGCCACGGGCGGCGTGAAGAAGCCGCACCGCTACCGGCCCGGCACGGTGGCGCTGCGCGAGATCCGGCGCTACCAGAAGTCGACGGAGCTGCTGATCCGCAAGCTGCCCTTCCAGCGCCTGGTGCGCGAGATCGCGCAGGACTTCAAGACCGACCTGCGCTTCCAGAGCTCGGCCGTCATGGCGCTGCAGGAGGCCAGCGAGGCTTACCTGGTGGGGCTCTTCGAGGACACCAACCTGTGCGCCATCCACGCCAAGCGCGTCACCATCATGCCCAAGGACATCCAGCTCGCCCGCCGCATCCGCGGAGAGCGCGCCTAATTCTGTGGCCACAGGTTCCGTCTAGATGATCCTGAACATTATTCCCTCACCCTAAAGGCTCTTTTAAGAGCCACCACATTGCACAGGAGAGTTGAAACATGGCTTTTCTCATACTTACAAGCTAGGGGTTCCGAAATTCTTACTGGTTATTGCAATTCTAATGATAACAACTTTGTAACGCTTCATTAGTCACCTTAAACTACTGTAATGTTTTGAGCAGTGTTAAATGCAATTTCAGTGAGGTGCCTGGAAATGCCCATTTAAGTATAAAGACTAAGCTGCACAAAAGAGTGATGTAGAGATAAAGCAAATGAGAAAAAGCAACACTACTACAGACAAGTTACACCCATTTTTCCCTTGCACCCTTTCCACTCCTGACATACTGCTTCCTGTAAAGTACTATATTTGCCATAATTTTTGTTGAGTAGAGCAGCCTTTTACTTTTAAGCATTATGGAAGGCATAACTTGAGTTAGTATTTGATGGAAGACAAACTTCGAATTTCAATCAGCTTTTTATTAACCATTATACTCTTATTTCTTTGACTCTGATGTACCAAAGAAATTTTAGCTGGATATGTCAGCCCTACCTCTATCACATGAATTAAATAGTGCTAAGATTATAAGCTTGATGAAAGGAATAAAAAATGATAAATTCGATAAATTATTCTGTCACTTATATTCTTAATTTTTTTCTGTTGTGACTGAGAAAAGGCTGGAGAAAAGGACTAAGGACAGTTTGGAAAAGGCGAAGAGAATCTAGTGTTTATTTTTGGGAAGTCGTTCTTCTGTTTTTGAAATACCTTGAAAGCACTGGCTCAGGAAAAGTTTTTGTGGGTTTTGTATGGTGCCAAATCAACCAAGGGAAAGGAAGAGGCTGTCAAGCTTTTGCACCTTTGCAACTAATGGGGGAGCTGCAGCAAAGAGGCCTATACGGTTTTGATCATCAAAGACAAGAGTTTTGTGTTTGATAAGAAGAAAATTGAGTCAGTAGAAGAAAAAAAATCAGGGAATCAGAAGGTCAACACTTAGGAGAATTTTGTTGATTCAGTAAAGTTTTGTAGTCAGGCAATTACACTTGGCCTTTAGTTCAGTTTTGGTTGTTCAAGGCTTGTAGACTCTCATTGTTTTATTATTTTAGAGAGGTAAGTTTTCTATTAATTCACAAATAAACCATCCAGATTCCTATGGATTTTGCTGCTTTGCTGTCCCAACATCTTTTCCTTTTCCCTTGATAATGGACTCTGGCCTATCCAATACTTCTATAAATGTAACCAGCCAAATTGGTCTGAAATTAAACTTCACATACTTGAGTATGGCATTTGGGGGAGCCTGTAAGAAGTTTCATATGGTGTGTTTCTGAAACACCCAACAGGATGTAAACATGATATATGTAAGAAATATTTATAACATAGTGATGTAGGTATCAAAGTATACACACACACATATATTTATACCTGTATACATATCTTTATATGCTCTCTTTTCCCTCAAAAATTTTAGTTCTTCTCAAATCCTTCCACTTCTGTCTCTTTCCCAAACCTCTCTGCCTCAGCAGCACCTGGCTTTGCTTTTTGCAGTTCCAACAATATGATATGGTATGAACTACCTCTCAGTTGGACTAGATGATCTTTGTGAGTCTCTTACAGCTGAAACTGTTCTGTTCCATTCATCCCTTTTTACATCATCACTTGCAGTGTAAGGTGACAATTTTAGGCCTTTGAAAGCAGCAGTGCTCATACTGGAATAGCACAGAGACTGTGCCTATAGGTTTAATTTAAAAGAAATTATATTATTATAATTTTAAAATTAACTACATGTCAGCCTACACTCTAAGACTTCAGAAGGCTCCATGCTGATACAAATTGTTGTTTCACACTGGCAATGTATTATTAGCTGAAACAACTTACCTTTGTAACTAGGCCCTACTGCGAGGTTAGCAAAGGTTAAAATGGCTAAAATCTCAGACTTATTGCAATTAGACTGGGGTCACTGGTGCCTGCTTGTAGTGCACATGCAGGCTCTGTATCTTCACTGATACTAGACTGTGGAATCTGCTCTCAAAAGCAAATGAAGAAATTATTCATCATGACTGATAATTAGTTGATACCTTGTCTGTGCTATCAGGTCTTGTATTAGTGCTATCTAATTAAATTGCTAAAAGGGACTGGGAAAGATTTTACGGTATTAACAAGGTGATACTTGTCAGAAATAAGACAGAGTTTCTTTATTTTTTCTAGTTAGCATTAAATATGCTCTAAGAGAACTGAAGCAGAAGGAACAATGACTGCGATTATGCTTTTGTTTCTGCATTTGTCTGACTTTTAAGAGCATGTGGAACTTTTATGGTTGGTTGAAAGGTCTCCTTCACTGCCCAGGTTGTAAGTTAAAATTCTCTTCTTACATCACGCTGCCTAATCAAACAAGGAGAAATATTTGTCATGCTATAGTATACAACTTCAATTCCAAAACCTGCAAATATTTTCTTTCTTATCAGTTAGGCTTCTTTTATTTCCATTCACTTCAAACTCAGAAAAGGTTTTAATTCACATGCTAAGGAATAGAGGTGAAATGTATCTTGAAACATTGAGGTGAAATACATAATAAAAAAAAGTAACATACTTTTCAATACAGACTGCACAGTCATTCCATTCAGCACTTGGTAACACTGCAGCTCTGCTTTCACTGCAGTTTGATTCCAAAATAAGGCCATGTAGACCAACGAATTCATTCAGGGGGATTTATGTGGGAGGAAGAAAAAAAGAAGCAGGGGAAAAAAAAGAAGACTGAACCCCTGAACAAACCTTAATCTTGTTTGTTAGATTCAGTGAGTCTTTACACTTTCTTTTCTCATCTACCCAAGTGCCATCTCTGACAGACTGTGTCTATAGCGCAGCATCTTTAAGCAGGCAAATAATGCCCAGAAGCCTCTAATGACAACAGATGACGGCTCTGGCTTCTAATAGCAGCCTTCAGTACTCTCTAGCACTCAGGGTTGTTGCACCCCAGGTACGAGATGTGCTTGCAGATGGGGAGAAGACAGGAAGATGTTTCCCAAAATAAGAGGAGAAACATCAATTATGTATGAATCTGCGTTATGAATCCGAGGCCTAATTTTTACTTCCCAATTTAATTCTCAGACTCTTGTTAGACCGATCTTGTCTAAGTAACAATTTGAGCAAAGGTGGGTTCTTGGAAATTTGAAAGCTGCATGCATATACATCTATCTTTCCAGATACTCATGAAGAATCCTAAAGAACTGGTTGCAGAAATCTGACAATTCAGCATGTCAGATATTGTGACCACTACCCGGAGAAGTGCAAGTTCAAAGACAAATACATTTATATCCATTACTGCAAAAACACATAAGTTTCTGCTCCAAGATTTCTATAAAACTCTTATTAAAAATACCCTCCTCCCAAAAAAATGCTCAGAAAATACATAACCTTTTTCCCACTGTTTTTTATTATTATATGGAAACAAATCTGGACAAACACGATAAGTTATTCCTCTCTACAGTACTTTTCTATCAGTTTCTTGACCTTTTCACGTACTTTTCTGTGCTGCAAGAAAGAAGCCTCAGGTGTCCTGTGTCATCAGCATGGTAGTCCCACATTTTGAGACCAGCCTCAAAACTGGTTTATTGAGGTGAATATTCTTGCTTCTGGCATTAACAGTGGTTTGAACAAGGTGGAAGCCCCCTTTAAGACAATTTGTTTTAGCCAGGTTTGACAGTAACACAGTTCCAATGAGCCACAGGAAGTTTCTGGTCTTGCTTTAACCCAGCCAGCCGCAGAGTTTAAGGCACAGATTTCCTGAGCACGGGCCCTCCCCGGACACAGGCGTGACCCTATCCTCCCCCCCCTGCCCTTCCACTTCCCTTCTCCCTCAAAGCTGTGTAAAGTCCAGCATTGTCACAGGGATGTAGATCCCTCCATCGTGCCTCAGGCTGTCTGCTCAACCCCTCTTTAAGTAATATATCGATCTCTCATTTCAGCCCTTTGATTTGCGTCTCCTTCCCCCATCCAGTGTTCATAAAACACCTGTTATTCCCTTTCAGTATTTGCAAAGTACTACGAGTGAATTGCAAACAGGGAAATATTAAGCCTTGTGGGGTTTTTTAAGGACAATTCTTTACATGCAGGAAACAGTAGAATAAGATGGGACAGAAATAAGAGCAGCTGGGACCTCAAAATAAGAGCTTTCAGTCTGAAAATAAATGTTAAAACCCTGACCGTTCTACAACAGCATTACAGCTCTTTTTATTGACCTATGTAGTGGCTCTTAAAAGAGCCTTTGGGTCTGTGTGGACTGCCTCTGTGCCTTGCCGGGGAAGGGCTGCGACAAGAGACTCAGGCGCGCTCTCCGCGGATGCGGCGGGCGAGCTGGATGTCCTTGGGCATGATGGTAACGCGCTTGGCGTGGATGGCGCACAGGTTGGTGTCCTCGAAGAGCCCCACCAGGTAAGCCTCGCTGGCCTCCTGCAGCGCCATGACGGCCGAGCTCTGGAAGCGCAGGTCGGTCTTGAAGTCCTGCGCGATCTCGCGCACCAGGCGCTGGAAGGGCAGCTTGCGGATCAGCAGCTCCGTCGACTTCTGGTAGCGCCGGATCTCGCGCAGCGCCACCGTGCCGGGCCGGTAGCGGTGCGGCTTCTTCACGCCGCCCGTGGCCGGCGCGCTCTTGCGGGCCGCCTTGGTGGCCAGCTGCTTGCGAGGCGCCTTCCCGCCCGTCGACTTACGCGCCGTCTGCTTCGTGCGCGCCATCGCTCCCTGTTCAGCGGCTCTCCAAATAAGAACACCACCTAACTGCAGTAGCCGCTGCAACGCCTCTATTTATAGAGCCGCCTCGTCTCTGATTGGACCACAGCAACGCGCTCTCATTGGCTGCCGTGTCAATCCCTGCCCGCAGCCCCTCGGACCCTCACCCCGCGGCCCCGCGGCCGGTCCGTGGCCTAGGGCGCGGCGGGTAATTCAGACACTGCGCTCGTATCCCCTCTGTTTGGACTGCTGTTCCTCTGCCAGTCTCCTGGGGTGATAACAAAAAAAGGAAAAACTTACTTCAGTGCCATAGAGAGCTCTTTCTTGTGTTAACGGGCACGTTATCTCGAAAGTCTCAAAGGAAAAATCGGCTGTTACCTCCAAATACAGGCGCTCAAAGAATCTAATAATGCAAGCTCGTAGCTGTAACAAGTTGTAACAAGTATGTAACAAGCTGTAACAATCGAGATCATATTTTCATGTTTTTCCCCTTTTTTTTCCTAGTTTTTCTTTTTTTTTTCTCTAGTTTTATTTTCACTAGGAAATTCTGAATGAGAGGCCTTACATATCACCGGGTAAAATCGTGACTTTGAGTCTACTTAGGCAATTAACTTTTTTTTTCCCAGTGAAATTAAAAGCTTGAGGAATATGGTATCAGTCTATTATTTAATTTGTCCCTGCTCATTAAGTTTGTGACAAAATCAGGCTGTGGCCACAAGTATTTATTATCATTGTTTGCAGTTGGCAAATGATCTCCAAAGGTTTTAGGTAAAGTTGAAATCCTCTTCTTTTCCCTTCGGTGATGAAGGAAGTACAACAAAAATTTTTTCTTTTAATGTGTTTCTAGGGTCATGATTTGGTTTTATTGTCCTGTCCCCTCCCAGCCCTTCCCTTCCCTCCAAATTAATAAAAAATATGATCTCTAGAAAATAATAATAGATTTACTGAGATTTCTTTTAGAAATAAACCATTTGACATGGAAAGGAAGTTTATAAAAATTAGAAATATAAGAAAACGTTTATCTCAGCAAGTTTCTTATTTTTCCCTAGCTAACTGATTTACAAGTATCTACTTAAAAATGTTAGAGTAAAAAAGACTAAATTTACTTCAGTTAGTTAAGTTGGCAAACATTAAAAAAAAGGTAGGCTTCCAGCTTTGACTAAATAGCACTCAAAGTGATTTTTATTGGGGTACGTTTCTAAGAGAATTTGGAATACACAAAGAAAAGTGCATCTTACACAGCAGTGAGCACCTAGCCCATTAGCCGCAGTTACACATTACTCAGCGCATGGTTAATCACAATGCATGACAGTGGTATTTCATCACTAGTATTATTAATTTTCATAAATTGGATACTGCACACTCAAATTCAGTTACCGTTTTCAATTAAACAAGTTAACACAGCTCTTTTAAGGAAAAAGTGGGTGGCTCTTAAAAGAGCCTTTGGGTTCGTTTCTCGAGGTGAGCCGGGAACAAAAGGTTTGTTTTAGCCGCCGAAGCCGTAGAGGGTGCGTCCCTGGCGCTTGAGGGCGTAGACCACGTCCATGGCCGTCACCGTCTTCCTCTTGGCGTGCTCGGTGTAGGTGACGGCGTCGCGGATCACGTTCTCCAGGAACACCTTCAGCACGCCGCGCGTCTCCTCGTAGATGAGCCCCGAGATGCGCTTGACGCCGCCGCGCCGAGCCAGGCGGCGGATGGCCGGCTTGGTGATGCCCTGGATGTTATCGCGCAGCACCTTGCGGTGGCGCTTGGCGCCGCCCTTGCCGAGCCCCTTCCCGCCTTTGCCTCTGCCAGACATGCTGCTCCTCGCTCAGCCGCAGCCGTTGTACGGCGGGAAATGGGCCCCGGCGCCTGTATATTGTCGTCGGTCCGACCTGGTTGAGGACTGCAGAGCGCGGGGGCGGAGCTTGGGTCTCGCTCCCGCCACTTCCTCCCCTTCTCCAGCGCACGACCCGCGAGCGCAAATGTGCGGAATTTTTGCGAATTTCTCTTCCCCGCAGAGCAAGCGGTTCGGTGTTTCTGCCACTTTTCGGAGCGTTCGATTTTTTTTTGTTTGTTTGGCTTTTTGTTTTATACTTGGTTTTTTGTTGTTTGGTTTTGGTTTCGGTTTTTTGTTTTTGAGTTTTTTTACAGCAAAGTCATCGTGTCTTTGTGTATAATAGTTTATATATATTTTTAAAAATAATTGATGTGTTGTGATCATTTAGAAGAAAAAGCTCATTAATGGAAAATTATTACAGTTATTGATTCACTGAAATTATGTTTTGATTTTTTCAGTATAACTATTTTCAAAGATTGGTATGTCCTATGTATTTCAATTTCACCAGTTTACATAGATTCTCGTGTGTGACTTTACTGTTTATATAGTTACTGTACACGTTTTTTAACGGATAATCTTGCAGCAAATTCTGTCCAGTCACGTTTCAGAGAAATTCTACCCCTCCTCGATGTTTTTTCTCATCTTCATTTCCCATTCTCTCTGAAAGTTATCTGAAGGTTAGTTTAACAGTAAAGGTACACTAATCAAGAGTTTACATGTTTCAGTTTCATTTTTAAAAGATAAAACGATTTTTTAAACTAATATTTTTACAGGATTTTCCACTGCTGCAGTGGCAAAGACAAGAATGTGGCTATTTTCAGAGACATTGAAAAATTAAATACATAAAATAAGGGTGGCCTTGTTCTTCTGGGGTAGGCATTCAGCTCTGGCTTTGTTTTCTTTAGCAGAGGAAAATATTCTGAGACTTTTATGTTGAAAACAAGTATTTATCAAAAATCTTTCAGTAGGTCGTTTTCGACCTGAAAATTTTTGGAAAGGGTAAAAAAAGTTTCCAATATTGAGCGTTTGCTGCCCTCTCATGGACATTTTTTGTTTGTTTGTTTTGTGTGGGTTTTATTCCTACCAGCTTGGCAGCTTTATGTAATATATACTTTCATAAAGATAGAACATAAGATTAAACAGTAATCAACCTCTATCGTCACACAGATCACAGGTACAGATGTTGCATCTGTTAGCAGAGAAATTAGTGTTCCAGTGGCTCCTCACTGACAAATGAAAATAATGTGGTCTGCCATGTCATTCATGCACAGCTTCTTCAGCACAGGCCCAAAAGAAACCCAAATGGGGCAAGACAAATACCTAGACTCCAAAGGAGACATCCTAAAGTTTCAAACCAGTAACAAAGGCCCTGTTCCACAAGGAACTTGATAGCATTCTAGATTGGGCAATGGAGGTACTTTACTTCCAGAGTACAGTGGGGATGCCACAGGCAAGTTCATGGTGTTCTCTCTCCTAAGACCAGTTTGCTCCTTTCATGGGGGGAATTTCAGGCATGACTGGACTGCTGTGGAAGGCTACCATGAGAAATTGGGCACTCCTAAGTCACATCCTCTGTCATTCCCAGGAGATTTTGACAGTAAGGTAGGTATGCCCTGCACTGGTAAGGATACACTTGGTGTAATATTTCCAGCTGGCTTTTTCACTCTCTGGGTACACAAGCAAATCCACAGGATGTTACAAACAGAGTAGTTTAGCTGCTGCAGAGCTGCCTGAACCCACTCTGCCATGAAAATCCAGTTGTTCAATCTGCTCAATCAGACTTCAGGGACTCTGACTGTATCACAGGCCTCCCCTGGGAGTTATTACCACTTTCAGATGCCTGCCATGAGGTTATCAGAAAATTCTGGGCTTTGCCAAATCACATACCTATGCATTTTTTCATAAGCTGTCCAGCTCTGTAAAGCTGAATTTTTGTTTCTCCCTTTTTTTTTTAAATGGAATGAAATTAAGTTAGAGCCTCACAGTATAACCCTCCCCCATAATGAGCTGCTTCTGCCCAAGAATCTGTGACTACATATAATATTCTCTGTTTCTTGCTGTCTCTCTCCTTTGCAAAATATCAGAACAATGTGGAAAAGGATTTTTAAAAAAAAAATAGATACATGCTTCTCCATAGTATTTTTTTAAACTCATGACAGAAATACAACTAATAAAATGAAGCAAGTTTGGAGCTGAGTTCCCTCTCTTCTTCCCTTCCAGCTGATTCTAAATTATACATCAAATATCATCTGGTCTGCGAGGTCAGTTTGATGAATTAAACTGGAACTTAAGATCCATAGAATTGTTTGCACTGGAAGGGACATTCAGAATCATATAGATTAACCTCTGTGTTGCGTTAAAAATTTGGCAGAAAATTAACACCCTTGCATTCTAGCTGGGCTTAATTTCTGATTACCGCAAATTCAGCACTGTAAGCCTAGTAGTGTTCAATAAGAACTTTCATGAGCACAGATTCACAAATAGTGCAGTTTATGATTCAACACTACAGATCTGGTTGCATTCAATAAGAACTTGTGTAATCACAGATTCAAAAAAAGTGCAGTTTATTGAAGCAACAGAAATACAGATTTGAAATAGCCATTGCTAAATGTGATAGAGCTCCAACAAGAACAATAATATTGGGTTAACCCAGATAATAATAATAATAATAATAATAATAACAATTGTGTGCAGAAGCTTAGCAAGAAGGCCTCCCCACTTGGGAGGAGAGAGAGGAGAGTAACCCGTTGATGGTCTCCAAGGTTTTTTTGGGGGTCTTCCTCCTAAGTAGGTGAAATTTCTACCTTTCTTATATACAGCACATTCTTATCCCACTCTCCTCTTACGTATGGCATGATCTAGGTGGAGAGTTAAGTAATACAATCATATATGTGGTAACACATACTTCATTAAGCTTATTAGCATATGTAGTAGTATGAGTTTTAATAGTTAAATGACTCCTTATCAGGCAAAAATTAGTTTTTTGGCCATGTGTCCCTCAAAGTTCAGATAATATGACTTTGTTCTATTCTGTGTTGTTTCTCAGAGCTAAAGTAGGACCATCCTATCTCCACAAGAACTCCTCCTTCAATCAAATCATTCTCTCTTGAGGGCAGTGATACATATCTCCATGCATAAAGATGACCCAGAAAGTAGACAGTGTAGGCCATAGACAGTAAGATACAGCCCTTGCCTTGGTCCTTGGTCAACATCCCACACCTTTGTGCTGTGGGTAGGGACTTCTTTTACAGATCAAGTTTTCAGTGACTGATGTACAAAATAATCCTATTATTGTTTTTCTACATTTCAAATTTTCCCCAACTCCTGGCAGCCCAATCCTGAACTCATTTGATGGGAAACTCTGCACTCACTGAGGTTTCACTATGTCCCAGCAGAAGGCCTGTAGGAATGATGAACAAAACTCACATGGGAATAGAAATGCAAGAGATCACAAAAACCAATCTGCAAAGTGAAAATCAGAATAAAACACAACTCCAGATCTAGGAAGAATTGTTCAAAATTGAGTACGGAGAGTGAATGGGAATCTCAGGAGGAGTCACATTGATGACTTTACTGTGCTTTGACAACCTGTTTTGGTGAAGAGGGATTTCAAATTCCCACAGAAAAAAAAGTGGTTGATAACCCCAGTGCCCAGCAGTAGACTGGGTGCATTGTGATCTAGACAGTAAAAAAGAAATTTGTGGAAGAAAAACTATGTTGTGTAACAAGTCTGGTATTAATGCTATTCATATTGTACTCTTACTTTTCCAGACTCCACCCTGGCTGTCCCCAGCTTCTGCCCATACACTATAGCTGTCTCTCCACTCTGCTCCTTCTTTTTGAGAACCTGTAAACTTAGTCTTGAAATGTACACAACATACATTTCACAATTTATTCAGCCCAGGATGCTATGAAGGACTTTTTCTCTGCTTTATTCATCTGTCATGGGTTAACCCCAGCCAGCAATTAAGCACCATGCAGCTGCTCGCTCACCTCCAGAGAGATGAGAAAAATGTAAAAACTTATGATTTGAGATAAGCACAAATTTGAAACATCTTTGTGCACAAACTAACGTTGCTCAGCCTTTTATGCAAGACTAGCTTCCAATTTTCTCAATCAAATGCAGAAGATTTTTTGGAAACTATTGGAGTATTTTCACTTGAAATAAAACTTCAGCTTTGGTGTTTTTAAGAAGTGAGCCTAAGAGAGACTTTTTAATAATTTTTCAAAGACATGCTGAGGCCATGCTGAATAAACTCTTACTCTCATATGACAACAACGACCATAAAAGATACAGATACACAAGAAGCACAGGAGTAACATAACTCACTAACAGGGAACAAGGATGTAAAGAAATACATATGTGAAAATTATCTGGTTTTGTAGCAATCTGACAGATAACTGGGCTTTGTGGTGACTAATGCTGATGAGAAATTCTGTAACTCCATCATAGACGTGTTCACCAGTACCAAGTAAATTTATTATTCTGTGAATGACTAACTTAAACAGAATTCTTGGCAGGTTGCTAACAGTCTGTTCTGCTATTTTTAGACCTTCTTCTAACTCACTGATCCATTTGACATTATTTTCTTTCTCCATTTCTACTTCCAGTGGTGGAACACCGTAAACTTTTGATATGCACATTTACTCAGTAAGTACATCTATGAAATAAATAGCTGATCCTATGGAAGAGAAATGTAATTGTAATAATTTGCAATGCTGAACTCTTCTTTTTCGACCTTCCTCCTCATTTTGGGGCATCTTAGCATTTAAAATCACAAAGCAGATCCTTTTGTTTTCTGTCAAAGTATGACTGCCCACTGTCATACTGGCCTGGTTTTTTCCTCCTATTAAACCACCTCCTCTTTCACCATCAGCAGCTCAGTTCTCTGTGTCAAATTTTTGCACAGAATTCCTAATCAGCCTGGTTGCCATCCCATTCCCAGGTGAGAACTATTCACAAAACAAAATATGTTTTCTGCCTGAGATCCTAAAGCT